ATTTTACAAATTAAAATAAAACACATAAAATTAATGTTTGTCTATTCACGGATTAACACTATGAGAGATTGGTTCCCTAGTTTCGCATGAAAAAGATCAGTAAGGATATGACCTAGAAGTTGATCCATCACTATACCATCAATTTGTTTATAATGTTTTATTAATGACAAAATAGACATTTATCGTATATTTCAGAAGTAATTCTTTGAGACTAACTGAAGTTAGACCTTACTGATTTTATTTACAGCTTAGCATAGTATTTATGGTAAACAAATCTCTTAATAATTGAGATAACTGAAGCTAGACCACTATGGAAAACCTGGAACCACAAATCAAAATGGTTGCCTTTTTAATAATTTAAAAACATCAGAAATGTTTTTATCTTGCCATTATAGATACTGAACTTTGTTTTAGTACCCTTCTTTATTCAAGAGTTCTTGACAAAACCTAATTATGGTTCCATGTTTTGTAAACATAACTATAACTGAACATTAATGAGTTTAAAGTACAGAAATGTTTACTATATATTCGAACGACCTTTTTAAAGGTGTTTTAATTTTGTTTTAAAAAATGTAAGTAATAAAAATGATAGAATGTTTTATATTATAATTTATTCTCATTGAATTATGGATTAAAAAATAGCTTTCTTTACTGATTAGAGTGATCTTTCTGTTGAGTGTAAACAAAATGAACTAAGCAAAGATGGATGGTGGTTAGAAGTGCAATACAAGACTCGTGTTTTGTCCTATTTAAGACTCGTCAGTTGGATGTACCTCCATACCACTGTTGAATGATCAATTACAGTCCTAAACATCAATGAGAACATTCAGATAATCAATACAAAAAGAATTAAAACTTCACCCTATTGCACAAGCTATTGGTTATCTGAACTCAATAGCTAAGTGGATTTCTCGATAGCATTTGAAGTGAACGGTACTGGATTAGAGTCCCAGAATGAATATCAACTCTGGAATACAGATACATTCAGCTGAAGAGTCCCAAAATAGGGCGAAACGCTCCTCCTGAATTTCACTGTTAATAACCATACATCTTCGTTTACAATGCTTATGATTTAAGGTAATATCGAGGCAATGCTCATAGGATGCATATAGGCCACTATGAGACTGGCCAATTTCAGTCCTAACACATCAGTGGACAGATTCAAACAACCAATACATAAATGAATCAAAATAAAATAATTTTCAAGATCATTTTGAGAAAAAATAATTACTAGAATCCTAATTTGTTTATTATTATTATTATTTCACTTGTTGAAATCATGAGTCAATTGAAGCTTACTTACTTACTTACTTACTTACGTCTGTTACTCCCAATGGAGCATGGGCTGCTGACCAGCATTCTCCAACCCACTCTGTCCTGGGCCTTCTTTTCTAGCTCCATCCAATTCTTGTTCATTTTTCTCATGTCTATTTCCATTTCTCGGCGTATTATGTTCTTTGGTCTTCCTCTTTTCCTTTGACCTTCAGGATTCCATGTGAGGGCTTGTCTTGTGATGCAGTTGGGTGCTTTCCTCAATGTGTGTCCTATCCACTTCCAGCGCTTCTTCCTGATTTCTTCCTCCGCTGGAATCTGGTTTGTTCTCTCCCACAGTACGTTGTTGCTCATAGTGTCCGGCCAACGAATCTGAAGTATTTTGCGTAGACAACTGTTAAGAAACACCTGTATTTTCTGGGTGATGGCTTTCGTAGTTCTCCAGGTTTCGGCCCCATACAGTAGAACTGTCTTGGCATTTGCATTGAAAATCTCGACCTTGGTGTTGGTTGACAGTTGTTTTGAGTTCCAGATGTTCCTCAGTTGTAAATATGCTGCTCTTGCTTTGCCGATCCGCGCCTTCACATCTGCATCAGATCCACCCTGTTCATCAATGATGCTGCCCAAATATGTAAAGGTTTCTACATCTAAATTTTCTCCGTCAATTGTGATTTGATTGGTGCATTCTGTGTTGTATCGGAGAATCCTGCTTTTCCCTTTGTGTATATTGAGACCTACTGCTGCTGAGGCTGCTGCCACACTATTCGTCTTCTCCTGCATTTGTTGTTGCGTTTGGGATAGAACGGCCAGATCATCAGCGAAGTCTAGATCGTCCAACTGCATCGTGGATGTCCATTGTATCCCATGCTTCACTTCAAACGTTGACGTCTTCATGATCCAGTCGATCACCAGGAGAAAGAGGAAGGGTGAGAGTAAGCAACCTTGTCTGACACCGGTCTTCACTTCGAACGACTTTGTCAACTGCCCTCCATGCACGATTTTGCAGTGTAATCCATCATATGAACTCTGTATGATATTGACTATCTTCTGAGGCACGCTGTAGTGTTGAAGAAGCTTCCATAGTGTTGTTCTGTCCACGCTGTCAAATGCTTTTTCGTAGTCAATGAAGTTGATGTAGAGTGATGAATTCCATTCAATTGATTGTTCCACAATGATCCGTAGAGTTGCGATTTGGTCTGTACACGATCTATCCTTACGGAATCCTGCCTGTTGGTCACGAAGTTGGGCGTCTACGCAGTCCTTCATCCTGTTTAACAATACCCTGTTGAGGACTTTTCCCGGTATTGAGAGAAGAGTGATGCCCCTGTAGTTATCACAGTTGCTGAGATCGCCTTTCTTCGGTATTTTGATCAGGAGTCCTTCTTTACAGTCTTTTGGTACTTGTTCCTCATCCCAAATCTTATTGAAGAGAATGTGGAGTATCCTTGAAGTTACCGCCACGTCTGCTTTTAGCGCCTCTGCTGGAATGTTGTCTGGTCCCGCTGCTTTACCACTCGATTTGTCTGATGGCCATGCTGATTTCTTCAATTGTTGGTGAGCCAACATTGATTGGGAGGTCCGTGGGTGCTGCTTCGATGTTGAGTGGGTTCAATGGAGCTGGTCGATTCAAGAGTTCTTTGAAGTGTTCTACCCACCTGTTTTGTTACTCTTCAATGTCGGTGATTACCTCGCCTTCCTTGCTTTTCACTGGTCGTTCTGGTTTATGGTGATTTCCAGAGAGTTTCTTTGTCGTGTCATACAGCTGTCTCATGTTTCCTTCTCTTGCAGCCTTTTCCGCCGTCGTTGCTAAATCTTCCACATATTTACGTTTGTGGCTTGTGATGCTCCTCTTCACCTGTTTGTTTACTTCTGTGTATTCAGCTTGTGCCTTGGCTTTCTCTGCTCTTGTTCGGCTGGTATTGATTACTGCCTTCTTGTTCCTTATTTCTTGAATCTCATCCAGTGTATCAGTAGTGATCCATTCCTTGTGATAGTGCTTCTTGTAACCCAGGACCTCATGACATGTTGAAGTGATTGCTTCTTTGATCCCCTTCCAGTTGCTCTCCACAGTAGTTCCTTCTCCATTGAGTAGATCATAAAAGGCCTGGAACTTATTGCTGAGGACTATCTTTAATTTGTTGAGTTTGTCAGTATCCTGAAGAAAGGCCGTATTGAACTCTTGTGATATTGTCCGCCCCGTTGTCCAGTGCTTCTTGAGTTTCAATTTCACCTTGGCGACCAGCAAGTGATGATCTGATGCTATATCGGCTCCTCTCTTGGTCCTCACATCCTCTATAGTCCTCCTGAACGTTTTGTTGATGCAAATATGGTCGATTTGATTTTGTGTAGAGTGATCCGGTGAAGTCCATGTGGTTTTGTGTATGCGTTTATGTGGGAATATGGTGCCGCCTATGACCAGCTTATTGAAGGCACATAGATTTGCAAATCTCTCACCATTTTCGTTTCTTTCTCCCAGTCCGTATCGTCCCATGATGTCTTCATATCCGGTGTTGTTCGTTCCAACCTTGGCATTTAAGTCGCCCATCAGAATGGTTAGGTCCTTTGTTGGGCACTTCTCGACGATTGACTGCAGCCTATTGTAGAATTGATCTTTAGCGTCTTCATTGTAGTCGTTGGTAGGCGCATAGCATTGGATGATGTTCATTGAAATGCCCTCTTCTTTTGTTTTGAACGAGGCTTTGATGATCCTTGGTCCATGAGATTCCCATCCTATAAGCGCATTTTGCGCTTGTTTGGACAGCATCAATGCAACTCCTTGTGTATGTGGGGCATTTTCTTCTTCATGGCCGGAGTATAACAGGAGCTCTCCTGTAGTTAGTCGTTGATGTCCAACTTGTGTCCAATGTGTTTCACTGATCCCAAGTACCTCTAGGTTGTATCTTCTCATTTCTGCAGCAATTTGGAAGGCTCTCCCGGTGTCCCACATTGTACGAACATTCCATGTACCTAAATAAATGGTCGCTCTGGTTGTCAGAAGGGGCATCGGCCTCGTAACTTCCGAAGGGATTCGGCTTTCATCATGAGGCGTCATAGTTCTTCTAAATGAAGACCTTCTGACTCCCAGGGCGGAGTTTAAAAGGTTTGAATAATTTTTTCTGGTTAGCGTTTTTTTATCGAGTTGGTTTTCTACGGGATGGGGACGCTAACCCCATGCCCAACCCTCCTCCTTTATCCGGGCTTGGGACCGGTAGTAGCCCCCGGAGGGACTCCAGGCGGAGCTAGGCCACCGTAAAAAACCTGGAAGCAGTGGGCGACTGTTTTGTCCTAGTGTGGGACTCCTCAGTAGAGCGCATCCATGATCCCGCACCTCGCGGAATTCGAACTCAGGACCTATCAGTCTCGCGCCAGGAGCTTAACCAACTGGACCGCTGAAGACAATGGTGTACGATGGCGCAACTTCGTGGATTGGTTGGAGTTAGACATTAACACCGTTGCATACCGCCCCAGTGGTCTAATGGCTAAGCGCTCGCGCACGAGACTGATAGGTCCTTGTTTCGGATCTCGTGGGTGGTGGGATCGGGGACACGCATTGCTGAGGAATCCCATTCTCGGACGAAACAGTCGTTCATTGCTTCCAGGTTTTCTATGGTGGTTTAGCCTCAATTGACTCATAATTTCAACTATTGAAAGTATTAAATTCTCCACAAAACCCATCTTGATATTATTATTTTTTTTTTAATTATTGTATAGAATATAATTAAATACTCATGAAACAATTATATTGCACAGTGTTATTTATACTATACGGAATAATCTTTTCTGTGAAATCTACTAATGTGACAATACTTACACAACTTCAATCATTTTATTATCCATCAAGAACCACAGTTTATCATAGATGGTGCAATGAACAATATCCATATGATTACTGTTCACCTCTCTTTGTTATTTGTTTAACAAAAATATCTTTGAGGTAAATTTCAAAGAAGTATTCACCAATGAATAGATTGTAAAATTCAATTTATACGGTATACTTAAGTGATATTTATATAATGTAAAATATTTTCCCTGTTAAGATTCTGAAATATAATTGTGCTTTTTTGGTGCATTTGTAAATAGTGTTTAGAATTGAGTTGATTGTAGACTTCTGATTATGACCCATGATCTCAACTGTTAAAATTAATATAATATCCACAGAAACATTTAATACTAATCAACATATGCTCACTAGTGACTGGCATCAAGAGGTATTTCCTGAAGTTCTAGTGAGAAACAGTGACCAGTCGAGTTCAACCGGGTCTGTTGTAGAGGAAGCCACTAACTAAAGACAATGGTAGATGCGCCACTCAATTTCATGGATTAATTGAATTTAGACATTAACACCGTTGGATGTCGGCTCAGTGGTCTAAAGATTAACCGTTCGCGCGCGAGACCGACATGTCCTGGGTTGAAATCTCGCGAGGCGGGATCATGGATGTGCACTGTTGAGGAGTCCCACAATAGGACGAAACGACCATCTAATGCTACTAGGGTTTCCATAGTGGTCTAGCTTCAATCGGCTCATGATCTCAACTATTGAAATTACTATAATATCCACAAAAACCCCTTCTGATCCTAATTAAATCAGGGTCAAGATAGACTAATGAACAAAATTCTTATGTTTGAAAGATGTTTCATTTAAAGAAAATCAGTAGTATTGTATTTTAAACATAAGCTGTAAATATTCAGAAAGTAACTGATAGGTAACCATATGCTTATTTTCGTGGTATCAATCAGTAAACATTTAATCATTACAAATGATTATCAACAGCGATAGTTTATTTGTCATAATAAATTTTCAAGGTTAGTAAATGTTAAGTAAATTGACCAGTTATGCTTTTTTTGGTTACCAATAGAATATACTCTCAAACTTCACCAGAAGTCTCTCTCTTTAGATTCTAAAATTAAATGAGAACTACCATTATTACTATCGACAATAATAATAATAATATTAATAAAAATAATCTATTCAATATATTCAATTTATAATAATGTAAACGTTTATCATGTTGGGACTGGAGTACAGGTCATAAAGTGTATTTCCATTTGATCTTATTCAAATTTTCAGGATTATTCGTGAACGTGAAAGTATTATTGAAAGGGATCAATGATTTTTTTAAGAACTATCCCATTCTCTGGCTAAGGCAAGTGATCAGAAATATCGTGAGCTCTTGTGGTTCATGAGTAATCGATCATTAAGTAGTAACTACCGTCATGTTTTGAAGTCTTTATTACTCCTAATTGAATTTTATCGACCAAGTTGCAATGTGAATAATAGTTTGAGTGACCCGATATCGCGTGTGATCTGTGGTAGTCTACAAGAAATGCTGGATACAGGTTTCGTCAGTAAGGTGTACTATATTCTTGCGGTAATTGATACTACTTGACAGATTCCATCCCGTCTCACCCTGCTTCACAGTTAGAGACTTAACCACTGAACTATTCAAGAAGTAACTGACTCCTGTAGGGCGATAGGATCAGTTTCCTGAAGATTACAGGTAAACGTAACTGATAAGTGTCAAATATCACTAAACCTAGATCCAAGGTTTCTTACAACCACCTTATACATGAATGAACCGTTGAAATGAATATTTTACAGTAGTGTAGTGTCAGTCAGAAATGACTAAATAAAATATGTGGTAATGTAGGGTTGTGGTTAACAGTGGAATACAGAACACACTCAATCCATCATATTTACGACTGGTCATTTGAATATATCTACATTTCTGTATGAATATTCGCACTGAGATTCAAACGCGTTTTCAACCTCTAAAAACGCCACCACATAGTTCAATAATTCACTGAGTCTAGCCAGTCATTAACTTGTTCAATGAAAATAGATTTATTTGTCTAGGACCTTGTATCAACAAAAGACAATTGCAAACTCTTACATATGATGACATAAATCTTTGAAAACTTTAAATGTAATTTATATATTTAATAGTTTGTCATACTATTTATTATAAAGTTATATGTTTTCATTTATTATGTTATTTGAATCTAATTGAAGACGTTGTATACAAAAGTATGAATTTGGTGGATCAGGTACGGAATATGAACATAAAAAGTTCATCACATTTCATGAAAAACTGAATGAAAATATAACTAATCCACTTGTATTCACCGTGTCAAATTGGACTGTAAGTGATTCAATTTACTGTTATATATAGTTAAGACTTAATGCAATATATAAACCTTGATATATTTCTCATACAGGCAACTGATGTTTAGTGAATAAGGTTTTATTAACTATTTATGAATCCTCGTCAGTTGAGAGTAGTTCACTGTAAACTATCAGCCTACAAATTACCACTTAATAAAGAATCATTTAAGTCAGCATGAATTTAGTAAATCAATTTACTGAATTATTGTTTATCTGATAAAAAAGAAAGTAAAAGAAATTATTTTCGATGCTGTTTATGAAGTGGGAGATTATTTATGAATTAAACACATTTAGCATTGAGCTTAAGATGTAAACAAAACTCCAGTTCACATTTATCATATACATTGAACGGTTTAAAGAAATATTCACCATAAAAAACAAATCCGACATCAAATGAAGCCTTTAATTCCTTGAATAAATCCATTAAATCTTTTAAATCAAATTATGTACTTCATCGGAAAGAAAAAATAATGATTGCTTAAATTGTATCTTTGATTTTCAGACAAAGGTTATGAGTTATATATTTGTAGAAATGACACAAATGAATATCAAAAGTCAATGACTCTGTTACTAAGTCGAATGATCTCATTATATAAAAAGATTGAGGTATTTCTTGCTGGTGCTTGAGATTAGTGAATTGATGCCCAGATATTAAGTGAACTAATACTTTATATTTTTGTTAGTGATTAATAGTGAAATCAAGGATATACGTTTGTTATGTTTTGGAATATCTTACTCGTTATAAAAAAATTAACTATTCCTTCATCTTTGAAACACTAATTATTTTGCCATTCATTTTACTACTAATAGTCAGGATATCAGTTGATTGTTGGTCAGTGATTTTCTGTACTAAGCTGAAAAAAAACTTTACTGTTAAATTAGATGGTGGTTGGAGGTAGTCAACAGGGAACCCTGGACCCGGGTTTTGTGCTACTTGGCGCTCGTCATCAAGGTGTACCTGTAATCTTTAGGGAGCACCAGTTCCCGGGTTTTCTGTTGACAACTTCCAACCACCATCTTATCTCAACATAGTCCACGTAATGTCGAGTAACCTAGACTGGTGGCCACATTGCATTTTGGTGGATAGCATGCAATCTGCACCAAGAAGGACTTGACACACATGACATTGATCACCACCCAGTGATCAATCAATTGTGTTTACTATTAAATCATTGATACTGATCAATCATGTTTGTTAGATTTATACTGTTTATTAAAACATCTCATAGGGTAATATTGCTACCAATCAGCTACTTTAAAACCGATTGCTTGATTTCACGTTAATCAAATACATCCAACATTTACTGTAATTCTGTTATATTCAGATGATGAGAAAACATATTTATTTACGAAGTCTAAACAAAACTCAAGTCCCGGAATAAACATCAACTCTGGGATGCAGGTACATTCAGTTAATGAATTCAGAATAGGATTAAACGCGAGTACTGGATTCTACTGTTAGTCATCATCCACCTTTGCTTATAAATGCAAAGATTATTCATTCACGTAAGCTTTGACTGTAATCAAGAATTTCACAAAAACGCAGTAATAACATTGGAATCATCCTTAGAATCCTATGAATTAACTCCTTATCTTATATAAACTCTAGAATCAAACCCTTTTTACAAATACTGATAATACAAACTCACTAACAGCTAGTTATTGAAAAATAATTCATTTACAAATATTTATTTCAATCAATCTATGAAGTTTATCCATTAAGTTAAGATGTCAGTTAGTTTATTAGTTTTACTTTCCTTAAAAATAAATTCACTTGGTGTTGTCTGCTTATATCTTCACATCGTTGTTTGGGACTGCAATCGATCAATCTCTTATTAGTATATGTGCATCTTGTGCAGATCGCCTCGATATTGCCTGAAGCCACTAGCTTTATAAGCGAAGTCCTGAAGTGGACATCAACTCTGGGACGTAGGTACATTCAGCTGACGAGTCCCAAATAGGACGAAACGGGCGTCTTGGATTCCACTGCTAGCCACTAGTCATCTCTGCTTAAAAATGAACTGATTAATGAAATTAGAAATTCTAATCTATTTATTGACGAACTTTTGTTAAGTAATTTTGAAAAAAACGTTTTTACAACTTTATATTTTACCTGGAAAAAAAATAAATTATTAGAATGATCTAATGTTACATGCAGCTGTATTTAATAAAGAACTTGCTGTTACTTCATTAATGGGTCGATCCAGTATTGTAATTGATTGGATAAAAACACCAGGTACAAATCAAACTGAAACATGGAAACAAATTACCTTTACAGCATTTGACAGTTTAATGGAGTAAGTAATAATAATTAATGTTATTTAAAGTTTTATATCAACTCAAAGGTATACATATTTTCATAGTTTCAACTATGAGCTGACCATAGTTCGGATACCATCGAAAACCAACAACTTGACAGGTCTTTCGTCGTGGTGCGGAATTCCTCAACAATGTGCCACACGTAATCAAACTTGAGGCCTTCGATCTGGCGGCTGAAGATCTAACCCCTAAATTACTTACCCAGCATTCAGCAGTGTGTATATCTAACCTCAGTAAATTCATGATATTGCGCTAGCATATTTTATAACTCGTGATAGATGACTATCTCATATCCAAAATTAAAATGCCCCACTGTTCACGGTTTCCCACTAGAACTCCAGAAATCCCACCTTGAGAATAGTCACTAGTATATATATTTGTATGAAAATGTCAAGAATGTAATAAGTTCTCTTTATATCAAACAATGATATTACTAAAAACAGTACGAACAAGATTTTACTGCATTGGTTTGCCGATAACATACATGATGCGCTCAATAAATACACAAAATGAGCTACATAGAAAATAATAAATTTAAAGAAAATACATTAGACATAATTAAATTAGTGTGCTAATTTTAGATCCACATTAGGTATATTAGTAATGAAATATATGATGTGAATATGAATACTGGAAATTAATTAGCATTTTTTCCTTCCATTTGAATGTATATCAACAATGCTTTTCGGCGAGACTATAATTTATGGACAAACCAATCAGGTAAAAGATAACAGGTCTTGGATTTTGGTGAGAAATTCAATACTCCATTTGGCTAAATAGAGTTTTAGCATTATAGTTGATATCAGTTCGTGATGAAAACCCTAAATCCAATTCCTAACTTTAACCATCAACTGTAGAACATAATTCGAATTCCTCACAATAAATTATAACCCTCATTTGGTCCTAGTTATCAGGTGGACACTTTCAAAGTCAGTCTAGCGTCGCTCAATGGTCGTCCATAAATTATAATCCCACCTGCTTTTCTATTTCTTGTTTTTCGACAACTTTGTGGTTGTACTGGAAACAGTAAATTTTCTGTGATTCGTCATAAACACTAAAGTAGGTGCTGCCTGTTGACAAGGAAAATTACGGATAAACTATGTTAATCAGTTAAATATTGCTTAAAATATTAGAAAAATTCGTTCGTGAATGTTTTGAACTTAAAAGGTTTGCCTTCTACATTGTAACGAATACTAGAAACTCATTTCTTTTCTTTTCAGACTAACTGCATGGGTTAAAGTTTTTAGCTCAGGTAAGTACAACTGAATCATTATGTATGAGGTGATTTCGATAATAATTTTATTCTAGTTTCCATACAAAACTCAGGGAATTTCTATATGTCCTATGATTTAGTAATTACAAGTTTCGGAGTTGATGTTTAATAGGAAGTATTAAAAATCTTGTATATGTGTTCGTTTTATGAGGTTCCACCTTCATCATAATCAAACCGTTAATTTTCGTGAACAATACGTTATGATTTTAGAATCCAAATCGAGTTGTTGTTATAAACTGGGTTAATTTTACCATCTATTTAAATCTATTTATCCATTTGCAATGATGAGTAATTAAATATTAAGCCCATCCAATGTGGATTATACTGATGAAAAACCAATATAAAATGTTCAGCCAGATCTTATATTAAGTTATTATAAGTTAGTGATCTAATTAAAGTCATATGAACATGAAGCACTGAGTACATACCTAATCAGTAATGCTACCAATTCCTAAACGGTTAGTATATTTAACGAAATATCTCAAATAAAACAGTAAAAATACTAGATTTCCCTGACAGTCTCCAACGAATAATTTCAGATCAAAGATTAAAAAAAGCTATATAAAGGTCAATTAAGCATTTATCAGTTTAATAATTGAGCTAGATCACCACGGAAAACTTGGAAGCACTGGAAGACCGTTTCGTCCTATTGTGGGACTCCTCAACTGTGCGCATCCACGATCCCGTTTCGCGAGATTTCAACCCAGGACCTATCGGTCTACCACGCAAACGCCTAACCTTTAGACCACTGAATTGGCATCCGGTGGTATTAATGCCTAACTTCAACTAATCCATGAAATTGAGAGATCCATCCACCTCAGTTTTAAGTGAGTCCTGGGTTTGAATCTTGCGAGGTAGGGCCGTAGATGCGCACTGCCGAGGAGTCCCACAATAGGATGAAACGACCGCCCAGTACTTTTATGTTTTGCATGTTGGTCGAGCTTTAATTGACTCATAAGTTCAATTATCAAATTATTACAATCTCCACAAAACTCCTCTCTGATTTAGCAGTTTATTAACTGACATGGGTTTGTAGGTAATGTTGCTAAAACTGAATTCTTTACTGAATACTTGTTATAATCCTTCATTTGATTAAATATCAAGTGAATAAATACTAGAGTTATTCATTCGTGTTCCCAAGATATCTAGGTATTAAAAGGAAATAACAGCTGCATTACTTACAGACATATTTCGTGTGAATTCTTGACAGGAAAAAGTTCAATTGCTCGCTATATGATAATTAGGTGAATAAAGTGACATTTTTGTGGTTAAAGAGTATGCTTAATTTTCTATTTAAATTGATATGTTGACACATATACTTGGATCTATTTATCAAATCATTATGTCGACTATTATTTAGGGTTTAGTATAAATTTTTTTGGGATTAAGCTATTCACATTTTTGTGATCGTAACGTCATCAATACTTATTTTAATGTATTCTATTGTCTACATATTCATTTTTAGAATCTTGAGAAAAGTAACGGTTTATGAAATAGATTGGCATAGTTTCATATAAAATATACATGGCACGTCAATTTACTTGAGAACTTCAATTACTCGTGTGTTTTTCTAAATAAAATCATTTTTCCCATCTACTATCTCAGTCCTCTTTATTTATTCTTTTATAAGGTGAAAGAATTAAGATAAGTTATGGATGGTTTTATCTAATTTAATGATTAAATATTTTCTAGATTGACTGAATACATCGTGATAACTAGATTCGAGCTATTTAATCCTTGATACTGAACTCATTTTCTCGACTTAATTAAAGTTTAGGAACTAGTCTATGATGGAACAAATGTAAGGCTATCTTCTAATGTTAGCTAGTTGGAGACAAGCAACAGCAAGCATTGATGTTCACCAATAGTCCACTTGCATCTAAAATCTCGGCATTTGATTTCTTCTGACATCGACACAATGAAAAATATTTAAGCTTTTGAACAAGGTCTTACTACTAAATTAACACGTTACTGATCGTAGAGGGGTATCAAAACAAACTGAAATAAAAACTACCTGATTACCATACACAACTATTCGTGAGCTCCTTATACAGCAATTTATTGAATAATCCTAAATACCTGTCAAGTACCACAAATTTAAATGATGTTTATATACTACATAAATTATTAGCGGCATTGGAAAATAAATTAGTAAATCTCGACCTTATTTTGTTGTTGTGAGACAGCTGAGACTTATAAACCGTGAACTAACAGAAACAAGGTAAACGTAATGATCGTCATTTTTACTGTGCTAACAAATGAAGTCAATTATATGAACAAAATAAAGCTCTAGAAGTCTTCGTTAAGTCAGGGGGAAGAGAGAACCTCAAATACTTGAATAACTTACTCCATTTCAAAATGACAGAAATAGGGCAAAGTCAATCCATACAAACCTGGAATTCTCAAACAGATAGTTTGGCTTCTACAAACTGAAAGAGTGTTCAGATAAAGACTAGTAATCACAGTTGGAGTATACTCTAGCGTATATCAGGTTTGTACCAAGCAGCGTCAACTGCTGCCTAGATTCGTTAAATCTACTGTGGAAAAGACTATCAGAGTCAAAAAGTTGAACGAAAAAAATTCCTTAAGTTTTAGTAGTATCTTGCTACTACAAAATAAGTACAATTTCGAATCTGTTTTATAGCCGGTCTCAATCTAAATGGTTTTACTCAGTAAAAATCAACAAAACATAAAGAGAAATTTGTACTTGAAATATTTTAGGATTGTAAAGGTTACTAACTAGACAACCATAAAACCTTGAGGGTGTGGATGAGAAAGTGTTAAATGGAAGCAACTATCCACGAGGTAAAGTGACAAAGTTTTTCAGTACCTTTTATTCCTCAAAACTTCACACGTCATACCTTTGGAGATAAACAAGAAAATTTCAGCTAACTTTGTAAACTACACCGACAATGTCTTCGTCCATAAGCCTCTTCTCCACGAGAGATTTTCTTTAGAAGTAATATTAAGGAATATATCATTGACTGTTGAAAAAAAACATGACTATCTACTGAGAGTAACATAACCTCCCAGATACAAGAAAATGAAGAGGACCAGATAAACTAAAACGTCTAGCTGTGTAAAAACTAACTTTATTATCCGCATTGTCAACTAATCTGCTGCAATCTGAAAAACTTCTATTTCCATTCCTGACCAAAAACCAAGACCGAGAAGGAGCTCGCCGAACTGTATACGAATTAACTAGGTGAGCATAATCGAGTAGATCTTGGTAATAATCATCCGGAGAAAACTGCTTATCTTCTTTAAGAGGAAACGTCTGGCAAACGGTTAACAATACGGCCTTCAAAATTGTCTATCATGAACTAAAACTCATCAATGCAAGTGATTACTGAGCAGAGTGCCTAGGCAACAGCCAATTATGGTATGTCAAGCTTTTTGATTTTGGAAAAGCAAACATTATTTCTATAAGTGACACTTTTCCGAAACTGGAGAGTTTATGAATGGAGCTGTAGCGGTAAATAAATCCCCAAAATAAATAACCCTGTAAGTTTTCGACATTGGATGCTGAACACATTGGTTTCAATGGACTCACTCAGCTGAAGGCGCTCGGTCATGCATCCGCAACAGATCACGAGTGGGAACGCCATGCTCAACAGCCCCTGCAATCGCTACCCAGATTAGATCAAACGATCCTCGATATATTGATAGCCTATCAAGTATATCTTCGAACAACCCCGCTTGTGTATTTAGATTTCGCTTGGTGGGTACGATTCATATTAACAGGTGTAACTGATTAAATCGTTGTTAAACTCCGAATACATCTGCCATTTTCAGCTTGATACGTTACAGTGTTTTAAAAAACATATGAACAAATGCTGAAGTACATTCTTGGAAACCAAACGATACACGGACGGGCAATACTTGGCTTCAGAGTACTATTCTACAAACTTTATTCAATCAAGGAGACTAAAGAAACAATCAAGGATGAAGCAAACAGTTTTATTTTCAACAACCAAGCGACAAGATTACTTACACAGAACATTAATTGCTTTCAACATTAAAGTTACAGAAAAATTAGCGGATTATTGACAATAACAAATGGATTTATTAATTCGTATTTGAACCCCCTATTGCTTTTTCTTCGACCACGATAGACGAATGTAATCCTCTTCTGAAAGCAAATGAATAAAATGAGATGAAAAAGAGCGTCAGAACCCGAATTTCGTGCAAACTTTATTGGCTCTTACACTTACGAAGCCCTAAATAACCATCAAACAGCCAGGTAAATAAAACGTTCAGCATTATACGCCATCAAATCATAGGATCATGCAGTAATAAAACAAATTGAGAGCAAAGAAATCATTTGGTTCACACTCGCACGTCACAAAGTTATTTGAACGATAGCAAAACATGACTGACGTTGATAACGTAATATAAATAATTGGTGATTCATGGGATGAAAACTGATCTTATAACTTTGCTTGCAGGTCGGACAATTGATGTTGTACATCTGGACATACTTCGTGTATTTCAATTTACGTATATTTTCGACATACGCATTGCGCGCCATGTTGAAAAGGTCAAACAAGATACCGTGCCAGTGTCCACATTGTTTGAATTTTCTCCATGAAAAGTATTGTTATGCAGTCCGCAATAGGACAGTAATGAACAACTACACGGATCATTTGTTTGTGTAAAATTTTAGTCATCTGTCCACTTTTTTTAGGTCTGAAGTGAAATTTCCAAAACGCACTTCATTGAAGGATGGTAGGATACCTAATAGATCAACGGTTAGTATTAAAATGAAAAAAATTACGTATACTAGCGGATACGTACCAACACTAGCAAACAGAGACACGGGTCCTATTTTTCGCTTTATTTTGCAGCAGTTACTGGCGTCCATTTTGAGTTGTATTTAAGCTAAAAATGACATTGATTTCAAACTCATTAACCTAGCTTCGAAATCCAACATAGGAAAAGGATGTAAGCAATTGCAATGTTTGATACTATTCGGACCCATGGAATAGAGAGATAGTTTAATATTTCTATAACTTGTCCAATTCATTTAATATTTGAAATGTTCGTTTCTCATAGGTCGCCCATGTACAGAACATTTTCCATAGTATTTTTTAACCCTTCCCGATTATAATGGATTTCATCTTGAACCATCAGCCCTTGTCTCGTACTCATATAACCTTACGAGGTCAACCTAATTTTTGTGGAGCTCAATAAAAGCTCTGTCGCAAGATTTATCTTATATCACCCAGAAGTCCATTGTAATATCATAAGCGTGTCTGCGATGACGGATTTGATGGTCCTGAATTAATATGAGTGTTAGTTCACCAGCGACGATAAAGTTAGATGCAGCCGTACAGATGGAAAAGTCAAAGATATGCAGAATTTGACAACCCAGCTATCCGAAATCTCTTTACTTAGCAATCTCAAAACCAATAAAACCAAGAGCCCACTATGAAAAGGTATGAGTGGATATTTAAATCACAAGTCAATAGGTCAAAGTGTAAGTAACCTAAGCTAACCGGTTATCATAGGAAATGTGCGATATAAAGCACCCAGACCTAATCTGAGACAGATGCTGAACCCACAACCATAAATGTACCCAGTAAAACCATCATGGTCAGGATCAGCTTCGAAGGCTAACAAAGCTATTTATTCTCGGGATTTACTTGTTAATACATATTTCAAGGTTGGTGTAAGTTAATTTCTGTTTTGAAATGGTGATATACAATCTTCTACTGTGTTATTAAAGTTCCATAAATTAATCAAACTTTGATGAATTACGGAAGAAAGTTCAATCATTCTTCACGATTATGTCTAATCTGTTTTCAGAAGCCCTGTTTAATACGTCACATATTAGATTCTACTTTTGAAGATATGCGAGGTCGTTTTACACAAATTTACCCCTTGTAACAAGAAATCGCGACATACTACCACTTCAGACATATTGGTGCATTTATTTAGGCACCGGTAAATATAATTCAGCTAAAACGAAGTTGCCATGATAAAGTATGTGCTTTTTAAATTGGACTGTTACTAACTTGTTTGCTTGCCAGTTTTATTTCGAAAATCTTGCTATCGAGAATCAAGAACAAGTGATGGTTTAGAATATAGGCTTTATTGACCTTAGAGCAAATTGAGTGACTTTGACGATTGAGGCCTACAAAGCAGACAATTAACATTGGTAATAATCAGTCCATGTAATCTGGTTTAGGAATTTGGCACATTTGTTTTTATAGTGGACATGTATGAATTATCGCATGAAGCCCTATACGATGTGATATTTTTTATTAAGTATCCTATATAGTCCTTTCCCTAGATTATATTGTCGAGGTACCAAAACGTTTTGAGCTATCAACGCACATTCGTGAGTGACGTAAACATCTACAAAAGAATAATCAATCGCTTAATAGAAGTTAAGACTGAGCAGATACCCATAGGCTTAGGGTTAAGGAAAACGCATCTCACCTATTAATATTGATCCGCTAAAAGAAGGG